GAGTTACACCAAGATCAGCATGTCTTAAGTCAGCATAAAACATGCAGGCCAATTGAGGCAGCTTTCCTTGCCATCACTGGGAACAGGACATTAGGAGCTGAGTCTGAGCTTAAGCTTGGGCATGCACAGCTGCTGACTTGGAGCTGACACCAGCTACTACCAGCTTGATCTAATTTAATTTCAGTGTCCCACAGAATTCAAACCCCTTCATAGATACTATGAAGGCTCACAGTCAATATGAGACACCATTTGTGCAAGCCTCATCAGAGATGACTCTCCTTCTTAGCTATGAATCTACACTTTGTACAAATACCTGGATGCAGTTATTAACTTGCTTTTAGGCTTGCTCTGAGGAGCTCGCTGTAAGGTTTTTTTGATATGCAATTATCCAATGTTTTGGCTCAACCTATCTGGGACGTTGCAACATGTATGCCTTTAATAAAGAGGAGGAAGTCTCACATGCAGACCATACGTCTGGAAATAAAGACAGAGCTCAGACGATAAGCTTACAGCAAGATTACTTGCTTTGTTTGCTGCTGAAATCATTCAAGGCAAACATGCAGTAGGGGAACAAAGGAGGAGAAGGACAACTTTTCACATACATTTCAGAAATAAACCCATAGGGAAGCTGCCATCTGCTCTTTTCTTGCTACATGTTCTTCCTTCACATCATAGGACTCCCTGACTCGGCACAGAGGATACTATACAGTACCACCCTACCTGGGGAGTTCCCTGATCTCACAGTAATGCATTTGGAGGGAACCAATTTTCTTGTACCTTCAGTTGGACGAAGCGGTAGCATTCTGCAATAGAGAAATAGCTCCTAAGCAGGTTACCTTGCTGTGCAATTCTCAGCAATTCCATCCTAGAAAGGAAGATGAAATTCAAGTATAACATGTATTCCCAAGAGACTGGTAACAGTTTGGTGTGGGTTTTGGTTTTTTTTTTTGGTTTGGTTTGGTCTGTGTGTGTGTGTGTATGTGTGTGTGTGTGCCTCTCAATTGCCAGCAAGCCACAGGAGAAGTTCAGGGAACCATTTTAGATTAGTCAGAGAATAAAGGGCAATCTAGTCCTTAGTCTAGTAATCCAATGTCTCCCTTATACTGAGAAGCCCCGAACTGGACCCAGCACTTCAGGTGTGTCTCACCAGTGATAAGTAGAGAGGAAGGATCCCCTTCCTTGACCCACTGGTGAGGTTCTGCCTAGTGCAGCTCAGGATGCTGTTGGCCTTTGCTGCAAATGTGCAATGACAGCTTATGGCCGTCTTGGTATCTATAAGGACCCTCAGGGCTTTTCTGGCAACCTTCTCTCCAACCAGTGGGCCCCCAGCCTACCCTGATGCCTGAAATTATTACTTTGCAGGTGTAGGACTTACTACCTTTCATGGAACTTCATGAGGTTCCTGTCTGTCATTTCTCCATTTTTTTCGAGGTCCCTCTGAATGACAGCAAACCCATGTATTGTATCAGTCTCTCCTCCCAGTTTTGTATCACCTGAAAACTTGTTGGTGTACTCTGTACTATCATTCATAATGATGTTAAACAGCATTGGCACCAATGTCCACCCCTGGAGTACTCCACCACTGGGTGGCCTTCAGCTGGACTTTGTGCTGCTGACCACAACCCTCTGACTCTGACAGTTCAGCCACTTTTCAATCCACCTCACTGTTCACTTACCCAGTCTGTAAGGCATAGGCAAACGTCTATGAGGATGTTCTTGGAGATGGTGTCGAAAGTCTTGCTAAACATGAGACAAACATCATACACTGCTCTTCCCTTGATTTTTAATGAGATTGTATGCTTTCCTACTGATTGTTTTCCTATTGATTCAAAGGTAACTCAGAAACCAGGGGGACACTCTTTGAGGAAGTAGGACATAAGAGGCTCTGTGTTGCTCAAAGTTCCTTTATCTAGAAAGCATCTTGTCCCTTGCGAGTTCCTGTACTTTCCTCTAATGTACATAGTCAAGTAAGTCTGTCATTGCTTTTGGGAGACTAACATGGCAACCTTAAATACTGATGTTCAGTTTCCAGTCCACTTTAAAACATGAAACAGTACCACTGCTTTTGGTTAGGTTTCTGTGACTAAGGAGTAGGCAGTGGTAAAGCTTATTCCATCGCTACCCCTGAGAGATCCAGACTTCCACATCACCAGAAAACACTCCATTTAGCACACAGAGATGTATTGTCACAATGCATTAGCACAAGCATTAGAGGGGGGAAGAAAAAGCAGAAATTTCTCAGGAGTATGAAACATTTAAGTATTTGAAGATTACAACTTAAAGAAAAAATCTATGCAAGTACGATTCTGATTTGTCACCCATCTCAGTTCCTTCTCCAAAGCAGCTGTAGCAGAGAAGTGGCAGCATGTCTTTGTGGTACCAATAGCTGGCATGGCTATTTGCCAAGACACCCCAAGGCCTCCACTGTTTCTGAATCTATGTGATTTTGTAAGCAAAACCAGGCAGCACACAAACATGTGGTCACCAGTGACAACTCGTCAGACTAAGAATAGATCAACTAAGGCTATATTAACAGTTTCAGACACAGGAGGTTGCAAAGTAATAGGTTCATATTACAGAGGGAATAGTTGAAAAAAGGATGGAGAAGAAAGTGCAGAATTGCAGTATTGGGGTACTTCAGCTCACAAAGTTTAATGGGAAAAGTGTTGTGGCTTCAGCACGGTTGGAGCACACAGCGTAAAGACGGCTTCCTGAAGCACGCAGCAAAGGGTTATGCTCAGATCTCTCCAAGTCAGACCTCTCTTGGCAGTGCTGCCTTAATGCACCATGACAGCAATGGTACCAGGGCACTCTAGCACCCCAGCTGACTTCCAGAGAATGGTGAAGGGCACTTTCCTCTTGTAAAACCTGAGGCAGCCAGTTTAAAAGTAAGGCTAAAGGCAAACATTACATAAGTACTCAAGATGAGAATAATAGCACAGGCAATCATTTCTTCCCTAAAGCACAGGAGCATGGAGGGGCAGTGGTGGTGGGATGGGCAGATAAGCAAAAGGACGTCAAATTTGCTCAAAACACAGAACATCTTTATGTAGAACAATATGTCATGATTTTCATTGGTTTCCTTTCCACAGAAGGATCTTACAAGGGAGTCGGGGCTGCTGAGGCACTGGAAAGCAAGTACTAAGGCCACAATAGGGTACCTAAATCGCTGCCTTACAGGGAAGCTTACTTAAGCTGGTGAAGGAGAGATACTGTGGCCACAGCTTATCTTTGCTGATGGTGAAAACTGAGCATTCAATACTGACATTGTCAGCAAGGGTTATTGGAGCACCACTTACAGCATCTGCTCCTCTGTTTTGCCATGATCATGTAATGTATTTCTCAGGAGCAGAGAGGGCCCATGAAGATGATGTGTTGGTATAACTTACCAAAATAAACAAAACCACTCCCTCCTTATTCACCAGAGACTGCCATACTGGAAAGCCACAAAGCTCCTCTTAGTATCAGGAAAACTGAAGATAACATGAATTAAACAGATTTGTAAGCTGTTTATAAACTAAACTTAAAATCTTTAAAAGGCATGGCTGCTGTGTTGGAAAGCAGCCTGTTCCAGGCTTGCAATCTTTGCTGAGCACAGTAAGAGTCTGGGGAAGGCAGAACTGGTTGTTATGGTTTGTAAACATTGTCAAAAAGATATTCATCATTACTACTGTGAGAGGAGTCTTGGTCTCAATGTGCAGAGCTCTGCTCAAGACTTAAAAAAAGCCACACATAGAGACAGGGAGCTGCAGTGGATAAAAAAAGTTTCAGTCCAAATTAATAATAGTTTAGAGTGCAGATTCCCTGTCAGGGATTGGATTTCTACAGTTCAGGGAATACACACTCATGCTGACAGGACTGGTTTGGCCTTAGGGAACCTGCAGCCCATGACTCTCACTCTGTTAAACACAGCTCTTAGGTAGAGCTCAGGCTGTCACTGGCCAGAACACCAACATGTACACTCTTCTGGGGGACCCAAGCTCCTGGGCAGTGTGTCCCAGCAAAGTTCTCACCTTCCCATGGGAAAAGAACTAAGACATCACTTCTAGCCTGCCCCATCCATGGTCGTTGTGGGAAGGAAACCTGGTCACGCAGGTGAAACAGATACTCCCCATGTGTACCCCGAAGCTGAGGAACAGAGGCATCTTGCAATTTAAGCATACACTGAAATTTTGCTAGTCTTTATCATGCTCATGTGTTTGAATGACAGCTATTGTGTTGAGGTTGTTCCCAGTGGAAGCTGAGCTAAGCATGCAACACCAGAAATTCAGTATCATTATACATACCTGTCAAATACTCTAGCCTTCATACCATTACCTCATTAGGTGTTAACAACGTGTGCTGCTACCAGAAGGAAAAAAGGCAAGGGAAGTAACCCAAATCTTGGAAAGACTTCCACACAAAACTGAAGAGGGGATGAAAAAGGCTTGTTACTCTTTCTTGAGCACACACTGTTTCCTGTTTCCTGATACATTATCTCCGAGAAATAAGAGTACCTGTTAACTCATGCTGGGTAAAAACACAGTATGTCCACTTAATACCAGCACTGGCAGCTTACAACAGCCAGTTTCTAGGAAATAACAACAAGCAAATGAAAGCACTCTGACTGCCTTCCAGGAAGCTGTCTGGTGGTTATTGAGACACATCACTGAAGGACTCCTCCTTCAGTGGAGGAGCACCAAGGCAGGGGAACATTTACTAAGAGCACCAAGGTCTGTTCAGTAGTTTCTGAGTGTTAGAAATGACTTAGTGTTAGTTTTGGGGTTTTGGGTGTTTGGTGGTTTTTATTTGTTTGTTTGTTTGGTTTGGTTTGGTTTGGTTTTTAAGAACTCATTGGTCACGTATGCAGAAAAGTTGTGTCTGTCACACCCATGTGCAGAATTTGGGGATTTTTTGGGTAACTGCTTTCAAACTATAAACCTATTAAGAGGGGGTTTTCAACAAAACAGACAAACAGTGTGGACAGCTTGACCAGCCTGAATGACAGATGACTTCTTTCTTTTCTTTTAGTCTCTCAGCAGGGTGAAAGCCAGAGACGCTTGTACAGAGAACTGCTGAGAAACTACAGTCGTCTTGAACGACCGGTAGTGAATGACTCCCAACCCCTTGTAGTCGAGCTCCAGCTTTCTTTGCTGCAGATAATTGATGTGGTAAGTTCCTTGCTGTTCTGTTCTCTACAGCACCTGTTCAGCATAACAAATCTGACCTCTCCTGTAGGGACTGTGCTTTTCCTCTTAATCAGGCTATCCAAGATGAAAGCAGACTGTCTTTGGCTAAGCATCCTCCCTAAATGCTGGAGTACATGCTTTGGCACTTTGGATAACTTTTTTTAGATAACTCCTAAAAGCACAGTTATCTTTGATGCAACATGAACTGCAAGGAGATTAATTCTGTAGTTTTTTTCCACTTGTTCTAAACAGAAAAAGGAATTATGTTTAAATAAATTAGAAGCCACGTGTTTCTACAAATTATTAATGATATGTTCTCAAAGCCATGAGGGATGCAGCAACTGAAGACCACGTGCAGTGTTCAAAGCTAGCATCACTGCACTTACACTTTTTCATTAGACATTATAATGGCATTGGCCTCTTCTCCCATCATGTCTTTACCATGCATTGCAGCTGAAGGAGCCTGCCCTGCAATGATGTTAGAAATACATGAAAGCAAAACTTGGAGGCCCAACTGTCTAATCGTCTTGCTGGCAACATAATTTTTCGGAATTGGAGATTTTAGTTGGAAAGTTTTAACTTCATAATCATGAAGAGGATTCTGTATGACAAACTGTAATATATAGAGAGAACTTTTCACTTACATGGAAAAAAACTGAGCCCGGAAAACAATTTTGACCACCTTCACGCTGTCAACATGGCAAGCAGCTGAAGACATTAGTGGTCCTTTCCTCATCCTACCCTTTCCATAATCAGTATTTTGGGTTGGTTTCAAATACAATGTCAGTGTCATGGTGGGAACAAGGAATAGAGATAGATATTAAAAATTTTGTGAAGTTGCAAACCGATTTGACAGAGGCCTCGAATATTTAAAATTCATACAGCTCCCACAATCTTTCTGGACATGCATAGTGCACCAGGTGCTCTCCCTGGAGGGGTAAGCAGGACCCTGGAAATCTAGCGCCCCAGCATCCTGCCATAAAAGTGGCAGATCCAGCCAGTTGTGGTTCTCCTGGAGGCAGGCAGCAGCCACTCAGGCGGAGTAAGCAGCTTTCTGTTTTGAGATGTTAACAACTGCATTGAGCTGGAAGAGAGTGGGGATCAGTACTCTCAACTGAAGTCACTTGTTCATGGCAGGAGCTCCTCTTCATAAGCAGAAGCGCAGGGAAATCCTCCAGGTAATTTCAAGTAAATTTCAGCGAGCAGTTGCATGTTTAGTAGAGACATCTCAGCTCCACATATCTTGTTTCAGCCCTTATTTTTTGATGGTATTTTCTTGCAGTAATTTGAAGGTTGAGGGTGGTAAAGGGGACTTTTTAGCCTTAGGGCTGTGACTGTACATTTTCAGTCAGTCAGGAGGAGTTACATAAAACCTTTTTTCAGTTGGTTTCACAACCACACGTGAAACCCCCCTTTCAGGAAATCAGAATTTCTTGGAGCACTTTTACCTACATTATGTCAATGTCCATTACAACAAATTTAATTCCAGTCTTTCCTTTTGATTGTCCACAGTAGGAAAGAAGTAATCTAAATGATCATACATACCAGAAAAAACCCTTTGCTTCCCCCCATCTCTGCACATACTACAAATGCTAGAACTTAATCAGCTCAGAGCATTGATGACTTGTCCCAGGCTCATGGTCTTGCAAACTGCACTCATGATGTTTTAAAAAAACCCAAAACAGCCAGAGGCACCTGAAGTGTTTTTCTTGCTTAATGTAAAAGGGTGTTTGTCTCCTCTGGGGAGGGACAGAAAATGCCTTGGCAATCAAGCCTCTGTAGTAGAGGGTCACTGTGGCAATGCAGGGATATGCCAGCAGCAAGCAGGTCATGAGCTTTGTCACACAGCCCCTCAGCATCCATGGCTGCAGCAGCCGAATGCTCCAGTTTCTGAAGAAAATACTTGTTTCAAAGGTAGGTCGTGATAATCACAGTGATGTAGAAAGTATCAGCCAAGGTACAAAGGAGGGACAATCTGTATTAGCTGACACACCATGAGGCAAACCAAGCAGGCATCTGTTCACTCAGGTCAGAGGCCAGAAGTGAGTAGACCCTGCCTTCTCATCTGCCCTGCCTGGCACAAGACAAAGCAATTGGTGCACAGTTGCTTCTCATTTGGGGAAGTAGGTGGTTGTTGTCAGTCCTGGCAATGGTGCATGCACTGACAAAGCGCAAAGCTGCTCTCTCTGAGGAACTGTGTCCAGCGTGCTCCGCCAACACAATGGAGTAGGGTACTAAGCAACATCCCAACCTAATGCACCTCATGCACCATGCTCCCTGGGGAGGAAACAAATACTCCATACTCAGGGGATTACAGTATGCCAAGGCATACAACAGTACTGCTGGACTCATTGCAATGATGTGAAAGTAGTCACTGCAATGAAGGTGAGACAGTGCACCCTGGTTTACCTGGTTTACTGTTTTACCTGCAGGAGGAAACAATGTAAAGAAGATGAAAACAAGTTTCCTGCTGTATTTTTGCACAGAAGGAATAAGGGGTCTGCCACTGATCCTCACAGGAATTCACTCCTTACTCTTGCCATGACCTGGCATCACAGCCAGTGCACTTCTACCTGGGACAAGTTCCTTGGCATGCCTTCATAAGTCTGTTTCTTACACATACTGTATTATAATGTAATGAAATCTAAATTAATCTTCTGTAGCCAGCCTGCTCAGAATAGCATGATGACAATGTAGATCCACTCTGCTACACAGACAGACACCTCTGAGTCCTCTGTGATTTGCCAGATAGTAGTGACAAGTGACTTGATTTAAAATCACACCTCCCCCTCTCAAATCCATTCAAAGAAGATTTCAAAGCATGAGTACCGTGGATCAGATTTTCTGGTCTTACCAGCATGTATTTACCAGCAAAGGGTCTGTGTGGATTTTAGTGTTCAAAGCTGTGAAGAACATCTTCTCTGCTTGTCATAGTTGTGGTAGACAAATGCAAATGAAGGACTTCTTGTCGGTAAGGTTAGGCCTTTTTCCAAATTATATTAACTCACAACTACAGCCAAGACAGGCCTTTGACATCCAGAAACAAAGGAGCAGAAAGAGGGACAGTTAGATACCCTTCCTAGCAGCAGGGTTCAGTTCAGTTTGCCTTGCCCTCAGTGTGTAAAAACACCTTCAAGCTGAGCTGCCTCTCATGACTGCAGCTTCTGAGTGTCCTTTTTTGCTTTGAGCCTGCCCTGCACCCTTCCCTGGCCGAAGCCAGGCACTCCCTGTGCATCAGCAGGGCTTTGGGCTGGTGATCTCACACGCAGATCACTATCAGGCCTGGCCAAGCCCTGCCAGCCTGGCCAAATGTAGACCACATCCAAGAGTACCTGGAACAAGAAATCGCTTCATATTTTGTCTGAGAGTCCAGCCAGCTGGCCAGGCTAGAGCAATTAAGAAATGAGACGTGACATTTTTCACAGCAGAGGAAATGCAAGCATTTTTCCTTTGGCTCAATGTGATAGGAGACTACTAGGTAGAAACCATTTATCATCGTGACTGATGGTTTTCATTGCTCATGTTGACATTTGCAGGGGACATTATCTGAAGGGATCTGCATCCTTTATGTGGAAGCACTGGTGAGACATTTTAAAAAAATAGTCTTTATTTTCCAGTTTTCTTTCTGTTAGTGATACTATTCACTGTTATCTTTGGGTCAGTGCATTAGCACCACTACAACAATAGCCTCAGTGCACTTGCTTGATGACAGGAAAAAGTTGTCTTATTAGCTTTCTAGGCTGCATATTTCCTCAAACAGCATGTTTAAATGTACAAAGAGAAAAAGATATAAAGCAGTCAACCCGCAGAAGAGTATGAAGAAGAAAACCATGTACAGACCAGGAATGTATCACACATTTTTTAAAAACCCCCTAAATGAAGAGCCTAAATTTAAGAAGATTGCAGCAAGAAGGCTGCACAATGCTGTGGAGATAATAAATGAGTCAAAATTCCCTTCCAAAAGCAAACACACCTCTAAGGTTTCCAGTAACACCGTGTTGCTGTTTTTCAGGGGCTGTACACTGCTAAGCACACTCATTAGCCTCATGCAAGGAGCGCCTGTCCACCACACTGTCCCTGACAATGTTGCCTTCTGCAGACCCACCCCAAGGGTCTGGCTGTTCGGCTTCCTGTGTATGGCAAAGTCCCGTAGTACTTTAGTCGTCCATGTTCACCCTTCCAGCTGTCACCAACACAGAAAACCACCCCAGCAGCTGACAAGTGTGTAAAGCCACGTGGTTGTTCAGGTGAAGGAGCGCCTGTCCACCACACTGTCCCTGACAATGTTGCCTTCTGCAGACCCACCCCAAGGGTCTGGCTGTTCGGCTTCCTGTGTATGGCAAAGTCCCGTAGTACTTTAGTCGTCCATGTTCACCCTTCCAGCTGTCACCAACACAGAAAACCACCCCAGCAGCTGACAAGTGTGTAAAGCCACGTGGTTGTTCAGGTGCTCT